TCAGTTGAACTATCACAGGATGCGGAGAGTCGGGGAATATGAAACTACTCTAAGTTACTGATTCATTTGAACACTACGTTCGTCCTCTTTGACGTATTCTGTGGAGATACATGTTCTGCCTCATCTCACCTCACCAAATCTGCAATGAGAGTGAGTGTTGCCCCTGACGACACATTTAGCGTTAGAAAGCCTGTGGGTGTAGCCCTGTGTTACTTTTACTGGAATATATGGCTGACAGCCGTACGAGGGGCTGGGTATTCACACATTTCATCTAATTACTGAGACTTTCCGCCCTAACAGCACCATAGTAATGATACCGTCCAAGTGCCTAGCGGCTTGCCAGTAAAAAGTTCCCGTTCGTATCCAGCCTGGACCAAGAGCTACTTTGAAGGAGACTAGTTTGTCATGTAATAATTCGCATTCTTCTACTCCATGACACTGTTCTCATTCTATGCGTATATGGTCTTCTTGCTAGTACCTGCGCTATCTATATGGGAAAATCATTCAGTATTCGTGTATGATTGACTGCCTATGGCCAGTCTGTGCATGTGTAGCGCCAAGGTATTTTTGTAATTGGAGCACTACAAGCTTCAGGCCAAATCTCCAGTAGCAAGTAAAAGGCAGAGGGACCTGTGAGAGAGATTTAGTGTGTACAGAGCCCCCGGTTGCCGTCTCCGACAGCAGTGGCCACTGACGAAGCCAGGGCTAATGCTGGCTGCGTTCAGCCAGGCCTAGGAGAGAATGAGACAATGGTGGCAGTTGATTAAGTAAGATGGCGGAGCAAGTTCAAGTGTTTTCCGATTGGTGCGTGTGGCATTATCCGAGGGGTGTTTGGTGGCGTAGGCTGTATCGGCCGAGGGTATGAGGAAAGGGCCGCGACTACCCGAAAGTACGTGTGTGGAAGTCGGTCAAGTGCGTCTGAAAGCGCTGACTGAGGTAGTGGGTGACCTTGAGGCAGTTAGTCTTGAACAAGGAAGTCGGACACAGCAATGTTGGGCGTCGGCCACAAATATTACGCAGTTATTCCTTAGTAGCTTATAATTTTCAGATCAAATATTTGCACCAAGTTTCGAACCGACCCTAAAATGCCCTGTTCAGAAGGATTCACTCTAAGTTTGCGCATTAGTTTCAGAGGAAATTAAAAAGAACAGCATTGGAAC